AACAATATGTAAAACAATAACTATTGATAATTTCCTACCACTTTGTCTGTAATTTGGTAAGCCCCTCCCATTATTGTTATCCTTCTCTTACTCTTTAAAATTTAAAAAAAAAGTACAACCTCAGAGGCCCAGATGAGATCCAAGCGGTTAATTCAATCCCCGCTCTCTTCAAAGTGTTTCTGAAGCAGAGCCATGCATTTTACCCAAATCGGGTGTCACACATTAGTCAATCTTCTCAGAAAACCTCATCAGGTCAGGGTAGCAGTGGAATGAGAGGGAATTAGGATTCAGGTTCTAGGACTGTGATGTTACTCTCTCCCCATGAGTATTTTATTCCTGGCATAGGGGCCTGGATCCTGACATAAAGAGGTGACATTGAACAATTTGGCTGTTTTACCAACTTGCAGACTATGCTATTGCCTCTCTCACGTGCCAGAGTTTATTTTGCTAAATAAGCACGGTGACTACAAATCCAGCATAGTCTGGAGACAGTGGGGAAAATAAATGTGAAACAGTGCATAGAATTTAGAGGTGGGAAGTACCTAACATAGTAGATGGCAATTCAGTCACCTCATTTTTCAGATGTGGAAACTAGAAAAGGGGAAGAGATAGCTCACCCAGGTCTCTTAAGACTCCAAGCCTTCTTTCCCCATCTCACTCCTTCTTGAGGTAATAAGGATTTCTCCTTGTTGTTAAGAAACAGTAAACAAGCTGGGTATGGTCGCACACACCTATAATCCCAGCACTTGGGAGCCTGAGGCTGGAGGATTGCTGCAAGTTCAAGGCTAGAATGGGCTATGAGTTCAGGACCAACCTGAACTACACAGCAAGACCCTGTCTCCAAAAAAAAAAAAAAGTAAACAGAAATGCCCTAGTTCTAACCACTGTTCATGGACCCAGTGATGCTGAAACCAAAAAAAGAGAATTCACAAAACCAACCCCAAAAGACCCAATCAGATTTACACAGAGGGGCTGCATTTAGGTAGTTAAAACTTATGCCTTAAGATGTGTGGTCCAGAAGAGAACTTTGTGAGGCTTCCAGATGTCAGTGTGGAGCTGTGACCTGCCTTGAGGACCTCGGACAGACAAAAGCTGTGTATGAAGTAGACATTTTCAAGATACCTGTCACCACCCACGGTGCCACAAAAGCAATTCCCAACTACAGGACAGTGGACAGTTTGAAATTTTTTCCTCTTTGCCTCCTCCCGTAAACCAGTGGTCACTAGCCAAATAGACAACACCCCAAGAAATGGGTACAAATTCAGATCATTCACCCTCAAATTAATTGCAAGATTCTGCACAAGAGGTCGTTTTTGTTGTTGTTGCTGTTGTTGTTTTTGTCTCCCCAGAATAGGATAGCCGCGAATGAATCTCTTACTGGCCTGAGCTATTTTTTTCCAGATTGAGTCTGGGAAAGAGTATGTGGCAGGGGCTTGGGGACACCCAAAGGTGGCTTCATCAGCAGTTGACGCTCTCGAAGAGGCCAAAGACAGAAACTTCATGTCCATGCAAGAGAACAGGGAGAGGCTGGGGGAAGAACAGCCTTCCAGGACTGCCAGTCACAGCGGGCCGTACAGAGACAGACTACAGAATTCCATGTGAAAATCCTTTAAAATACATTTTTGGGCTGGGTGTAGTGGCGCACACCTGTAATCCCAGCACTTGGGAGGCTGAGGCAGGAGGATTGTTGCAAGTTTGAGACCACCCTGGGCTACAAAGTGAGTTTAAGGCCAGCCTGAACTGCATAGTGAGACCCTGTCTCAAAAAGACAAAACAAAACAAAAAACCCCCAGAGATTATGTGTTGCTTTCCCATTCTCAGAAGTGGAAACTCAGCTGTACCCATAAGGGTGACTTCTCACGCCCCTTCTGGACCATCTGAACACTGCAGTGTCACTCTGTGCCCCTGGGGTCCATACTTGATGAGTCCATCTCTTCAGTAAGCAGACAGGCACTGTGCCTCAGTCTGAGGAGCGTTTGTGTCGCTTTGACCCCGGTTCATTTCCTCATGGCACCATCCAGAATTCCTGCTATATTTAGCAAGCGCTGATGTTCATGTAGTACCACTGATGACTTCGCCCTACCCCTCTAAGAATTGTTGCCCACTCTGTCATGGTTTGAGAATTTGACCCTAAACCCATTTTTTCTCAGCTGGAGCTAAGTTTGTACCTACCCCTGGGTTTCAAAATACTTACTAGTCAATCTGATCATTCTGAAATCAGTAACTAAGTAATTGTTTAATTAACCTTGGTCAAGTCTGTATTGTCTCTAATTTCTACAGTTTTTCCTATGATTTCCAGGCTGTCTAAATTCTTAGCTCATTTATAGCTGAGCCAGTGATAATTACTGAAGTTACTAAATGTCCTCCACTCAGCAGTCCTCAGTAAGCATTATATTCTTCCAGCTTTACTTCTGTGTATCAGTTCCCTGCAGTTCTCAATTTAATGAAGGTACCACTGTAAAGAAACAAAAACGTTGAAATTAACGGAAAGAACACCAAAGGGAAACATATTCAGTCAGGCTGTTTCTAAAAGAAATCAGCAACACAGTTATTGGTAACGTTGTGGAATCTTGCAGACATACTTGGACCTGGGGAGCAGAAGGCAGCAATTGCTCTGCACATATTGGTAAGGATGGGAAATAAATCCCGCTAAGGTGCATGGGCCTTTCACATCAGTGGGAGTTAGGGGGTCCAGTAGTGGGAGGTAGGTTAAAGTGTTGAGGGTAAGTCCTTACACCTGGCCCCTCTTCACAGTCAGAGAGAGGCACAATATCTGTGGGCCTCATTCAGTTTTTGAGACAACATAGCCCTTATTTGTGTTTCATGCTGCCCCCATTTACTGTGTAACTAAAAAAGCTGCTAATTTTGAGTCCGACCCAACACAGGAGAAGGGTCTAGAGCAGGCCCAGGCTGTGGTGCCATTTGGGCCAGATCCAGCCAATCCAGTGCAGTTTTAGTGTTGTGGGCAACGGGGAAGCTGTTGGAACATTTGGCAGAAGGGTGTAGATGGTTTCCCAATGTACACTCTCGTCGCCTGTGGAGCAAAACCTTGCCATCCTCTGTAGGTAACCACTGTCCTGTGAGAAACAGTTTCTGGCCTACTTCTGGGCTTTAGTAAAGACTTAATGTTCAGCCATGGGCCACCAAGTTACCATGCAACCTTTGGTACCCATTGTAAACTCGTTGTCTGACTGCTCCCGCCACCCCCCCCGCCCCCCGCCAGCCTTACAGTTGGGCATGCACAGCAGTGCTTTACCAGACGGAGATGGCATGTACCAGAGATTGGGCTTAAGCAAGCTCCAAATAGCTCAGCTGAATAGGCAGTGGTCCAAATGCCCATGGTCTTCACTCTTGCTACTTTACTTGCTTTTTGTTTTTTGAGACAAGGTCTCCCTATGTTGTCCAGGCTGACCTTGAACTCCTGGGCCCAAGCAGTCTTCCTGCCTAGCTAGCCTGCAAAATATCTGGGACTGCATATACACACCGTGCCCAGCTACTACTTTATCTTCTTCATCTCTCATACCTTGGCCTTGGCCAGCTCCCTGTGACTTGTTCAGAACTAGAGAAACTCTGGCCTGGTTTACAGTTGGTTCTGCATGATAGTGCAGGTACCATCTGAACACTATCACCCCACCCTGGGATGGCCTCAGAGGACATTGCTGAAGGGAGATCCCCCTTCACGAGCAGAACTGCAAGTGGTACATTTGTTCATTTTGTTTGGAAGGAGCACGGTCATAGGTGAAAGTCTGTACCATTCATAGGCTGCATGGATCAGGGACTTGAAGAAACATGAATGGAAAATTAGTGACAGGGTCTGGGGGAGCAGTATGCAAATAGACCTCTCTCAACGGGCAAAGAATTTCAAGATATTTGTCCCTTATGAGTATTTATGAAAGGTTATCTGGTGGTGTATGCTGAATCTGTGTTCAGTACAGTATGTGGTGCTGTTGCAGTGGTATGGGCCTAGGATTCAGGGGTGGGAATGGGATTGGCTCCATTCATTAGCACTCTTAGTGATGCACTAGGAAAAGTTCTGTTTCCTGTCCTTAGAGTCTGCTTTTTAGACATCTTTCAGTTCCAAAGGAAGGAATGCCCCACCAGAAGATGGACCGATGATTCTTTCTCTTACTTGGAAGTTGCGATTGTCATCCAGCCCTTTTGGCTTCTTGTGCTTCTTAGTTAACGGGCAAAGAAGGGGTTCCTGTCCTCAGTGCAGTGACTGCTCTGATGACAGGGGAACGCTAGGGCGTTACTCCACAGTGGAGCTGAGGAAGAGTATGCCCAGAGTATGGGAGGCCCCTTATGGCATTTTTTAGTATCCCCGATTCTGTGATTAAAGACAGCAAAGAACCAGGGCAGCCCAGCTCAGAATGACTAGCGGCCCACGTCAGTCAGGAATGCAGGTGTGGGTCATCCCATCTAGCAAAGACCACTGCCGTCTGAGGTCCTTGTCTAGGGAGTAGGGAGCCCAGGATTGTTAGCAGTAGCCCAGTGATGGCTGCTTGACTAGTTGCAGAAACAAAAACTCTACTGGTTCTATTTCCTCCTTATTTTGTTATGAGTATGTTTGTATATATTAACCAATTGCTTTTGTTTTCTTCCCTGTCATCCCATTATCATCTTACATGCAAAGTGTGATCAAAAATATACAGTGAAGGTCTAAATTAAAATTTATTACTGTGAAAGACATGATGTCATTCATCCCACTCAGAATCCCTCCCTCACTTTGAACACCGTCTCATCATTCTTACCACTTTCTGAAGCAGTTCCAGAAGTGTTCCATGATTTTTTTTGCAAGGTATGAGTTTAAAAAATACACTCAGTGCTGCTGCTGAGTGCTGTCCAGCGGAAAGGTGGGCTCATAAAAACGTTACGGTGTGTCCTTATCCATCTCATTCACTGAATCGCGTGCTGTGAGACTTCCAGCTCCTCTTCAAAGTGAAAATGACCATGAAAATGTTTTAAGACAGTTCAGGAGGTGGAGGCGAAAGGCAGCCATGATGACGACAGACACAGAAAAGGACTCCAGAGCTGCTGCACAAGGTGGCAGTGGTGACTGGATAAGTGTGTTTGAAGTGATGGAGGATTTCAAGGGATGCTCACGGCAATGTGTCCTTTGCAGTAATACCTTTTAAAAAATATTTGAACATTTCCCATTTTACAATCATTCCTTGTAAGATGTAACAATATATGTTATATCTTGATTTCTAAGTTTAAACAGTGTCAAAGGAGAAGTGGGACCATCATCCCAAGAACTTGACAACTTCGGGGAATGGGCTGGTGTGCTTTCAGGTACACATGGGATGTGGATACCACGGTAGTACAGAGGAGATGACTGATTTTATTTGGAGAGTGAGTGTAGTGTCAGGGCATGTGTGTAGTGGGAGTCAAGTTGACAAAGGGTGAGCTAGGATGGTCTTTTTGATGTGTCAGCTTGGATGGACTCTTGTCCTCACTTAATCAAACTGTTGTTGCTGAATTGAGCTCTTGCTGCGAAGGTATTTTATAGATGTAAGCAGAGTTCGTAGTCGGTTGTAAATGAGGGAGATCATTCACAATAATCTGGGTAGGCCTCATATATTGAGATTTTTTTTTTAAAGCAGGGCTAAAGCTTCCCTGAGAGAAGAAATTTCTCCTAGAGACAGCAGCTGCAGCCTGTACCTGTGAATCCCAGCTTGTCCTTCCTCATGACCTTCCCAGCGGACTTCAGACTTCCCAGGCCAGCCCCTACCTGGTGTGAGCCCATTCCTTGCCATACCTTCCTTACTACATTATACATCATCAGAGATCGCTAATACCTGTCTGTCTGTCTCCTGCTGGTGTTGTGTGCGCGATTGAATTCCTCACATATTCTTGCCGGTTTTGTTTTAATCATCAGTATTGCCAGCCAGGCCCAGCACTCCTCCTGCAGGTGCTGGGTGTTAATATGTGTTGAACTGTTTCACATTTCATGTTTCCAGCTATTTGCAGAGGGGTCCTTTGCTGAGGAGCTGGCTGCTGGCCCGAATATGCAAGGCCAGAGAGCAGGCAGCCTCACTCAGAGTCACCACTCTGGAGCTCAAGCAGCAGAAGCTGGCAGGGAGAGGAGCTACCACCTACGTGTCTGCTAGTCCGTGGGAGAAATGCGGCTGAACACTGAGGCTTCACATCAGAACTCCTGTCTGCCTCTTTTACTATTTCCAAATATTATTTGCTTTCCCTTGTGAATTGTGAAACATATGTAAAAGGAGGTTCTGGCAGACGAACGGAAAAAACTAGAAAAAATTAAAACTTGCTATGGTTTTGAGGGGTAGGAGGGGACGAGAAACAGCGAAATAGTTGCCAGTTTCATCAGTGGGTCCTTGCCTAGACCTGGGTAAGTACGTGCCGTTTCTGGAGGCATCAGCAGGCATATGCTTTATAGAACAGCATATGCATCGCTAAACGTCACTGTGCCCGCAGCGTGACCTTATGAAAACCACAGGGCTTACAGGTTAAGTAGGACGGTTAGTACCAGGCTACAATACTCATCAGCAACACTGACAGCTTACAAGTTCTTTGTAAGGGTAGCACACATTTATTTGTGAACAAAACTTAATGTGAACATTGCCATTTGCCAAAATCTTTGTTTGATTATAGACTTGTTGATACTCCACTAGGAGCTGAGGTATAAGCTCTAATTTTAAAAGGATAGAAACCTAACTTTTAAAATGTGGGGGCCAGGTGTGGTGGTAATTACATGCCTGTAATTCCAGGGAGAAAAATCTCAAGTTTGAGCCCAGCCTGGGCAATTTAACAAGACCCTCTCAAAAAACAAAAAGTGTTGGTTCGGAGGGGTGGGGTGCGCTCGGGATGTAGCTCAGTGTAAAGGCCCTGGCTTCAACCCCCAATAGCAGAAAAAATACATGTAGCATGATTTTGCAGATGTAAATGGTTAAGAAATGCCTAAAGGTACCTTGAAGAAGACCTGAGGTCCGCCTGTGGGCAGGGCGTTGGAAGGCTGCGGGGTGTGGTGAGGTGGTGGGCGGAGGGTTATCGGAAATCGGATGGCGAGGCTGGGGCTGTAGCTCCGTGGTGACTGCTGCCTGCCCCTGGAAACACTGAAGTGTGCCTGTGACCTCAGGGGGCCCTGCAGCAGCACACGTGGGCGGTTGTGTCTCCCGCCCTGGCAGCTACCTGGAGGGACTAGGAAATGACCCACGTGCTTCTGAGCAGTTCGCCCTATTTCTCCGAACCTCAGTTCATCCGGGTGCAATCTTCCGCGTTCACCTAGTGTTCTCCACAGGTGAGACAGCGTGTATCAGCCACCTTGGAACAGATTTGCATTTTCAGAACAAGTGTGACTGCAGGACTGACTGAACAGCCTGAAGAAAGCACTGTCCTTGTGTCCTAACTGTCAGCCTCCCGGATGTCGTTTGTAAGTCTGGTGGAAACTTTTTGTTAGCAGAGCTTACCAGGAATATTGATGTTTTCCAAAACTGCTGTGTTTGATTGTAAAGTGCTGTCATGGGCCCTACAAGGGCCTGAATCTACTTTATACCATTTGAAAATTTCTGATTTCCGTCGCACATCAGGCCCTGAGGGCATCGGAGCAGGAGGTCTGCATCACTGAGGGTTAGGCACCATGCTGGCTGCTGCCATGCGTAGAAGGGAGGCGCAGTGTGTGGGGTCCCCAGTGAACTTGCAGCCCAGGAGAAGCATCGCACACTCCCTAGTGTTGCCGAGGGTGTCTGTGTAATGCACCAAGCATCCAACAGGAGAGGGAGTCGTTCCTTCTGGCCAGCTTCCTAGAGGACGCACCTCCTGGGTCCTGTCTGAGCAGTGGGGAGGATGGGGCAAGACACAGAAGGTAGAAGCAGAGGTGCAGAGGCGCAGAGTTACAAAACTGCAGATCCAGGGCAGTCTCTTTAATGTTGCACAACCAAAACACAGTGTGTTAGTTTGCTAGGGTGGCCGACTTGACATACATTTATTTCCCCGCAATTCTAGAGGTAAAAGGCCAAGATCAAGGTCTTGGCAGGGTTGGTGTCTTCTGACTCCTCTTTTCTTGGCCCATAAATGGCCACTTTCTCTGTATGTCTTCACACTGTCTTCCTTCTGTGTGTATCTCTGTCCTAACCTCCTCTTATGAGAGTATCAGTTTCACTGGACCAGAGCCCACCCTAGTGACTTCATTTAACCTTAAGTAAAGATTAAATAAGCCTTAAATTAAAAAAAGACGCGATCAGCAGATAGTTGCATTCTGAGGCACTGAGGGTTAAGACACCACAGAAATAAGCAGAAAGCACACAGGGGCCAGAAGGTGTGGTGCGTTTCATTGGGGCTGGGGACTTCAGGAACACTTTAAAGTCAGAGGACTTAAAGAATAAATAAAATCTCATCCATTGAGGAGAAAATGATTCAGGAAACAAAGCAAAGCCAAGATTTAGGCCTGCTTTAGAGGTCTACAGCATATACCCTAGCCCAGTGGTGGTGAATCTATGACATGCATGTGTAGTGGGCTGTTGGTTTCGTTGGAAGCTCTAAAAGGTTTGCCATCACTGCCCTAGCTATGCACACCGATGTCCAGATCTGGCGTTCCATGTGTTAACCACTTCCTGTCACTGTGACTATGCCTGAGAAGATCAACTTACAGAGGGAAAATTTATCTGGGCTCATGGTTTCAAAGGTTTCAGTCCATGGTTATGTGGCTCCATTGTTTCTGGGCTGTCTTGAAACAAAACATCATGTTGAGAAGTATGTTGTGTGGTAGAGCAGAGCTCCTCACTATGGTTTGGGGGGCAGGAAAAAGAAGGAGAGAGAGAGAACCCCCTCAGTGACCTACTTCCTCCAACTAGGTCCTTCCTCCTGAAGTTTCCACCACCTCCCAGGAGTCCCACCAGCTGGGACCCAAGCCATCCATGAATGAACGGTTGGGGAACATTCCAGATCCAAACTATAACATCAGGAGTGGGCTGGTCTCCATACATCCTGCCTCTAACAGTTTCCTCCAGAAAAAGAGAAGAGTGCTCCTTCCTTCTCTGTGGAGCACAGTAAGCCACCATGTCATCCCCCACTTGCAGAAGAATTTCAGTGCTCAGTGTTATCATCACAAGTCCCATTGCTAGCTCATTAGTCATGTTAGAAGTATCCCAGGATTGTGGGGCCCAGTAAGAATAAGATATGTCTAGTCATCTTTTTTAACTTAAAAGTATCTTCTCAAAGGTATTCTGATATCCCAGTGCTAAGGAAAACATTACAAAAGTCTCCTTAAATTAGTAAAATTATAGGATTCAGATGATTGCTGTGTACCACGTCCTACTGTACGCTGTTCAAATAAATGTTTATGATCAGTAGTTTACCTCCCACATTGTTTATTTAACCAGTGAAACACAAGATGTTTCAGTCAGCTTGCTCATGTTTACTGAGTAGTGCATGCCAGGGTTTAGAGGAGCATGCGCATGTGTGTGTGTGAAATGTATGGTCCTTAAAGAAACTAAAAGATGTTTGAGAGAAATTATGAGAACTGTTTTCCAGAGTGTATTCGGAGGAAGCCTATTCATGATGGTTGCCAACAAAGTCAAGTTTCCACAGCCAACCAAAACTTCCAGGCCAAATTTCCAAGCAAGTTTAGGAAGCAGTGCACGTTCTCTGTACTTTTAAAGAATAATGATAACAATACGAAGGACTCTGAAAGCTCCCATAGTCAAGACATATGTTTAGTAAGTTTATTTTACCTGGATTCTCAGTGTACTGGTCTTAAGAACCTGGTACCACCTTCTGAGAAATCTCAGGCATTCACAACACTTAAAATAAACTGTGATCAGAAGTTTCTGTTGGGGCTGGGGATTTAGCTCAGCGGCAAAAGCACCTGCCTGGCAAGCGCAAGGTCATGAGTTCGGTTCCTGGTACCGGAGAAAAACCAAAAAAAAAAAAATAAAGAAGTTTCTGTTGCTCATTTGGAAGTGTACCATGGAACTCCAATGGAGAGGAGTTGGACGTTTTTATTTTAGGGTTAGAACTGAGAATGTAAGAATTGCATCCGTATGAGAAGTGGAAAATGGATCACATTTGCTGGACTTGCTGAGTGATTTTTAATTTCTAGGATCTTCTGTGTAAGCTAGTAGTAACGGTGATGCAGCCATCAGATGGTATGTAATTATATCCATGAAATAATGGGTAATGAGCACTTTTTAAATGAAAAAATTCCCTAAAATAATTATTGGATGATGAAAATAAATTAATTCAGTGTTTTAAAAATAAAAAATAATTATGATCCCTGAAGCAGTGAGTGGAAAATTACAGTGAAAAATGCTGAAATATTAAGGAAATGTGCCACCATTGCCTTTTCACCTATAAATTCAGTCCTACAGCTCAAAGGGGGAAATTTCTAGAGAGGCTGGCAAGCAGAGGTTTCGTAGCTGTAAAGACGAAATCAGGGTGTGGGCCGGTACTCTTGTCTCTGAGACCCACACATCTCACCCCTGACTGGAGCTGCAGCCCCCCCAATGAAACCAACTTTGAGAGAGTAACAGTTCTCATTCCCCTTCTCCCCGCTGCCGTAACCACCCAGCAGAAGTCAACTTTGTGTTGTAAAATCTAAGATGCCATTGTAAGTAGTCTGTGTTGCTGGGTACCGTGCTACTCTACGCGGTGGTTGTGTTTGGGAATACTTCACGCGAGCATTGCAGACCTGTGCTTTTTTACTGTGCTTCTCTCTCTTAGGCTCTGTCTGTGTACTACAAAAGTAATTCACAGTAGCAGTTGTTACTTGTCAAGAAAATGGGGAATACTGGTGACGATGCACTTAATCCAGCTAATTCTGTGCAGATGGACAAGTTCTATCCCCAAGTCATAAGTTGATCATAAAAGTGTATTTAATGGATATTATGGACACACTTGCGGATTACATAGTGGTCATTATAGCACAGAATTACAAATGTTTCATGACTTGCTTTTTTGATATTAGAGTTCTTATATTTGAGACTATCAAAAATAAAAATATAACTCCTCTAATTTATAAAATCTATTCCCTATTAGTTCTCTTCCTTAAAGTTTTGCCATCCAAATGTAAGGTGGCTTAAACGTAGTTACTGAATCTTTTCATACAGTGAATTGTAGAAAATTAATCAAATGCTATAGCCAATAATGACATAGCTATGAAATAAACTTGCAGAACTTTAATACTTAAAGATATTTCTGATAAGATGTGCATTGTTAACTTTGAAAATGAAGGTGGGAAATTACTTTTCATAACTGAGTTGTCAGCAAATGCAAGACCGTGGAGCAGAATTCTCAAGAAAGCTTCTGTGCTGAGTTGTCCCCCAGAGAGAAGTAGACGTCTGGAGCACTGAGATCTTTTTCCTCCTGGTCGGAAGGGCTGGGCTTTGAAAGGAGAGTTTGGTTAGGTGTTGGTTTTCTTTTCCCTTCACGATAATGCTCAAGGCGTTGCTGGAACAATGTTCTCAGGGGTTCCCGAGAAGTTCACTGCCTGACACTTGGACCTTGACACTTCTTCCAGAGTGACACCTGTGTACTGGTGTTATTGCCGTGCAAGGTGCGGTGCGGTAGCGCCCCTGTCTCACGGCGGTCCTCGCACAGCTGTCTGTGCACAGATCTCTTTCTGTACTTACTGAAGCCACTCGAGGGCCCTGTGTCCTGGCGTCCTCTCCAAGGCTGTCTTTGTCCCATGTGTTCAGCTCCTTCCTGGCTCAGTTTACTGTCTGTCTCCCCCAGCAATGTGACCGACACAGCAAATATTTTATATGACGGTGCAACCTTTCAAAGTGAAACAAAGGACCTCATTGACCTTCTGAGCTGACACATAGTCCAGATTGTCTGTTGGTTTTATATGGGCGTAACCTGTTCAAGAAATGGTGACTTAGCTTGTTTTTAGTTACAATTAACTCCCTTGGTTCTAGCCCAAAGGCATATCACCGAATCTGCTTTAACTTCCTGGCATGATTCTTTTCCCCTGTTGATAAATTCTGACATAATCTGCAGTTCTCTGCCATGGTTTAAAACCTGGACTGGCCAGGGAAATAGCTCAGGGGCATAAGCACCTGCCTGGCAAGTGCAAGGTCCTGAGTTCGATTCTTGGTACAAAAAAATTTAAAAAAAAAACAAAACTTGGACTGTAGACCCAGGCCTGCATGAGGACATCATCTTATGTTGGAAATAAGTGGAATACAGTATGAATCGTCAGTTGGCTGTTCACTGTGGTGCTGCCAGACCTAGAAGTTGGACATCATTTGCTGTCTTCAGCTGTGGACAGTCTCAGAAAAATATCCACTTTATCAGTTTCTATACAAAAACATTTAATTCGGGGGGATTTACTCATGAGAGCGAGAAGTATGGCATGAAAATCTCTGGAGTAGTCACTCCTGTGTAAAGAACCATTGAAAACATAGCAGCACTGAAAATCAGACCTTCTGTTTATCATTGCTTTATCATTTAAAAATATATTAATTGTATTGTACACATTCTTGTCTTTCAAACAACATACTGTAAAAAGTAATTTAGCTCTTCTTAGAAGACTGAATGTCTAGGACAATATATATTATGTGTATGGAGCGTCTGATACGTTATAAATCTGTCTTCCTTTTATTTATTTATATTGTCTCACTATGCAGTTCAGGCTGGCCTTGAATTCTCTATGTAGCCCAGGCTGGCCTGAACTTGCAGGGATCCTCCTGCCTCAGCCTCCCAAGTGCTGAGATTACAGGCGTGCACCACCATGCCTGGCTTCTGTCCTCCTTTCAAATGTGATGTAATACAGTATCATTTCCCAGGCCGCTGAAATCTGAGGGTCTCTGCACAGCGGCACCAAGTTCTTGGACTGCTGTTGTTGTGTAAGTGATAATGATTCTATTTCTTCTGTGGCAGTAGCACTGCTGAGGCTGAAGTGGTTTAATAGTTTCTTCCTCGCTTCAGATTTTCTGTGATATCTCAGACAGACCAGAACTGAAGATCAGCAGAGGGAATGCAGCGCTTCTGTGCTGCATCCCTGACCGACTGGCTTGGCCAGATCCCTCCGTGGTTCTGGCCAGCGCAGCTCTGGAGCCTGGCAGTCAGCTGGCGGGCAGGAGTCTCAGCTGTGTGCCTTGTGCAGGAATTGTTCCATTCACAGTGCGCACCTCTGTCTTTCCTTCAGAACTACTGAACACAAGCAGGTTATTCCCTCTCTGTGTCTTAAGGTTCCTTATTTGTAAAATGGGCCATTAATATCTACCTCATAGATTTGCTGTGAAGATGAACTGAGTTGATATCTATAAAGTGCTCACTGCAGTGTGGCATATAGTAAGGGTTAAACAGTTCCAAAGTTATTGTTGTACCACTGGATGAGTGGTTCTTTAAGCTTCTTTTTTTTTGTTTGTTTTGTTTTGTTTTGTTTCCAGTACTGGGAATCGAACTCACGACCTTGTGCTTGCTAGGCAGGCTCTTTGCCACTGAGCTAAATCCCCAGCCCTTGTAAGCTTCTTTTAAAAAGAAAAGAAAAGAGTGTTTCCTAGTAGAGAGTGATTTACACTTTTCCAGTAGGAATGTGCTAGAGTGAAGGGAGCTGTATCAAAGGAGCAGGACTGAAAGGTGTCACCTGAAGTGTGACTAGATGCACCAGGGTAAGAGGGGCTGTTCATAGCCTCTCCTTGGGTGTTTTCAGAGACTTTTCAGAAGAGATAAGAGAACTGAACCAGAAATACATGGAGATGCAGGGCATTGGGTGCACAGCTTGTGCCAGGAGCTAAAAGTTATCTCCTGTATCTAATAAGAGCTAAAACAGTGTGATTGAAGGTGTGTGTGTGTGTGTGTGTGTGTGTGTGTGTGTGTGTTTTAAACTCCCTCTGTGACTTACATGTTTTCCTCAGCTTCTGGTATGGAGAAGAGCACTGGCCATCTGCTTTGCTGAGGAAAGCAGCCCCTGCCCTCGGGTGGTGTGTGGGGAGGAGTGTGTGTGGGAAGGAAGGGGTGCTGTACTGGCCAGCAGGGCGCTCACAGCCTCTTCTTGCTCTTCCCAGGTGTTTCCCGGGAGCGTGGGAGACAGAGGCCCCGCCGCGCCCGTGGCTCCTGCTGAGCCTCCCTGTGCACAGGCTGGGCCGGCCGGTCCTGACACTCCCGCCCTGGGCTTGGCTGGTGGCTGCCCTTTGGCCTGGCTCCCTGGGCCGCAGGCCACTCAGTTGTAATTTGCTCCTGGGCTCAGAGGTGCAGCCCTATCAGACTACAGTGTGTGTTTATCTTGTAATTTTCAGACAAGAAGAAGGGAGGCAAATTCCAGCCTTTTAAGAAACTGTTTGGCAAAAGGAAAAAGAGAGATCCCTTGCCGTCCCGCGGGGAGTCGGCAGGGAAGAAGAGTTACGCTCCACAGAGTGTCAGCAATGGGACCTTCTCTTCAGACGAGGAAACCCCGGAGGACCATCTGAGGTAATGGCTTCTACTTTCTTTCCCTGTTACTGGCAGCATCCCGGGTGAGGAGGAGAGTCCCCGAGGAGGCAGGTGCTGTTTACTGCATTCGACAGGCAGGAGCCGCGTCACAAACGTGTCCCACAGACGCTGCTGCCCCTCGGTGCGTTCTCTGTGGAGAGGTCACCTTGGGGCGTAGCACACGGTCTGACCTCACGCTCTTGGAGTGCACAGGGCCCCGCAGCGTTCACTGGGTTGCAGACCCAGTTGCTGGCTCTCATTATTGGCAAAGAGAAGATGGCCATAGACTGGCACGCACACGAGTCGACACAGATTGCTCACGCACGGCCAGCGCCCTCCGCACCCCTGGGGTCTCAGCACCTTTTGGAGCGTGTTCTTGCTAGAGCTTTTAACTCCTTCCTTGTCCGCCTTCCTCCTCTTCCTCTCCTTCGTCCTTTTCCCTCCCTTCCTTTCTCCCTTTGTTCCCTTCGCTTCTCCCGTCTCCCTTCCCTCCCGCCCTCCTTCCTTCCGTATGGACAGCACAGAAACCAGCCGCTCTGTGAAGCCTTTCCCAGCTGCCCCATCTCGGAATTTGCCCGCGCTCGGGCCGTCTAGCGTTGTGTACCTGGCTCCAGCAAAGAGCTCATCACTTTCTATGCAAATTGTTGATTTGCTGCTCTGTCTCTCTCACTCACCTGTCAGTCCCATGAGGTCAGGGGCGAGGTTTTATTCAGACTCCTATTAGCTGTTCAAAACACATGCTCCCGAAGGAGTGCGTGGTGTAAGCTGTGATGGTCTTACTGTGTCCGAGGACAGAGACAGAAGCATTTGAGAGGGGCATGTCAGTAGGTGAACGCGATGGGTGGCATGCTGTGCTCAAGTGACAAAGCCCTCCGAGCAGCAGTGCACAGTGAGCCCAGCGCTCACCAGCGGCATCGTGCAGTTCTCACCCATCCCCACTCTCTACAGGCCTGGTTGTCTTCCATTGTCTGTACTCTTTTGCCAAAAAATTGTCAGATTTAATTTTACTCTTTAGGGTAAAAAAAAAGCAGCTTTGAAGGGAAAGGACTTAACTGAAAGGGGAACCCAACTGTTGGGATGTCAGAACTGATACATAGTTAAGCACTGTCCGGTATGGGTCAAGTTTGATTTTACTTCAGTTTTTTCAGTTACAAAATAGGAATGTCAAGCTGATCAAGATACGGTTCAGTGAATAATGAGGGCAAGTCTGGCAAGCTGACCTTTGGACAGACAGTCCTATGAAGACACCGTGTCCTCCTATGGTAGCTCATGGTTTTCACGAGGCGCTGACATCTTATGTGTTGGGCCCTTGGAGGAGCGGGGAACTTGGACATTCTCTGCACATTTAAATTCCATATTCTGTTTACCTCTTGACGTTTTCCTTAAGGTTTTTGCATTTTGCCAAGCCTTGGAAAATTCCACGTTGGCTCAAGCAGCTACATTTTTGTAAATACTGTCACCTGTTCTCAGTGAAATGTATAGCACATTTATGAGTCATGTGCTATATTTTAATTGAACATTTGCTTATCCTAAATAAGGAAGAAGGATAAGCTTTGTCTATGCATTTCAAACAACTCTAAATATTTTTAAAAGTTAAAACTATAAATATAGAAAATATAAGTAATTTTAAAGTATGTGGCATGCATTCCTCCTTTTTTCTACAAATTGAAAATTGCAGAGTAATTTTGTCCACAATGTAAATATTATATGGATTACTTACAGCAAAGCTGAACTTCTGATTATCCTTCTTATTTAAGGTGGAAAAAATGAAAAACACTGTTTCCAACAATTCTTATTTTCAATTCACTATTCAGTTAACACACATACTTGTTACTTGGTGTAGTGTAAAGATTTTTTAAAGTTTTCAATGTATTTTATTTTGCTTTCTCTAAAATAGAAAGCTCTGGCCAAAAGACAAAACTTAACATTTTGGTAACATGATCTCGGGTAGGGGTCTGAGGAGGCAGAACTCGGTGCAGTGTGGCAGAGAATTCCTAGTGAGAATGACGGAAAATGGGGAGGCTGGACTGTCTCGCAGGGCTCAGTGCCCGTGAACGTGGGCTTTCTTCACCAGGTGAGAACCTAAAGCTGCTGAACTTGAAAATGCTATTGATCTCCAAGAATCTGTAATTCCAGCAGTGCCTCTCTGGCCAAAAATAGCCTCTTATTGATCTGCTGTTCCTGCCTGAAGTTTTCTATTTCCTTTGGGATTTTAAAGCATCTGTTCTTTCTCCAGATTAGAAGCCTTTCTGAGTCCTAGACTGCTGCTCTGAAATTACACATGCCTTGGGAAAAGTCAAGCAATAAAACGTGACTAGTATTTAACAACTTAACATGACTTCCTTTGTTAAATACAACTAATAGGTTTCCAAAAGTGTGTTAGGTAGGTGTTATGTGTAAAAAGGGTCATCTTGGTAAAAAGGCTTGGGAAATTGTGGGACAAAAAAATTAAACAAGGTTCTTTGCAAGTTACATTACGGGGCTTTTGCTGTGCTCAAGTGCCCTGTGAGTCCATTCAGAAAGGGGATGTACATGGGTCATTTCCCAGATTCCTTTGACCACAGACTCTTTTTTCCCGAAAATATCCCATTTGATACATATTAAAGCTATGACTAGTGGAACTTACTCTGATGTGTTTCCCAGGGATGGCGAACCTTTTAGAGCTTTCTGCAGCACACGTGCCATAGGTTCACCACCACCGAGACAGGTGGATTTGTGCGCTTGACTCTAACATTGACATAATCCCCAATTCTGAGATGAGAAACCTAAGCCCAAGGTCATGCAGCTGTTAAGTCCCTGAACAGTAATCCAAACTGTAAACAGTATGTTCTTAACTGTCCACCACTGCACCTCTCCAGGAGACAGCCTGAAGGAGCCAGTCATGTGGCCCTCAGGTGTCTGCTGGTCCTGCGTCCCTAGACTCAGATGTCTGCTTTCCTCCTGCTGCCTGGATGAAGCTTGCTGTTCAGTGCGACTTCACTGCCTCCAGTTTCTCCTGAACACTAGGGTCTGTGACAGCACCTTGTACTCTGCCAGCTTAACATAAGCACAGTGAGGACGAAGAGGCTCCAGAGACCACGAGTTTTCTCTCGGGTGGGAACAGCGCAGGGAAGATCCAGGAGGAGGCGGCCTTGGGCTGGCTGAAGCACGGGCAGGATTTAGAGTACTGAGGAGCAAGGCTATGCATCTGCTCGATCGCGGCACAGAAACTTGCACGCCAAATCGGACATGGAAGGGAGAATCGGAGGGGACTTCTCAGCTCACTCCATGAAGCCATTGTAGCCCTCATACCACCAGGCTCAACCAGGCTGTCTTGGTTACTTTTCTCTCTCTCGTTGCTGAGACAAAATACTTGACGCCCAGAATTAAGGGAGCCAAGTTTTATTTAGCTCACGGTTTGTGGAGGTTTCAGTTCGTAATCAGCTGGCTCCAAGGCAGAGTGGCACATGGCAGAGGGACAACACTTCAAGGCAGCACAAGACAGCAAAAGCAGCAAGAGCATAAGGGGAGACCAGCCAGCCTCTTTTCCTCCCTTACACTGTAAGCAGGCTACCACCTGCTAGGTGAGTGTAGCACTCACACCATCTCCCTGCTCTCCTTTTGCACAGGATGAGGTGTTTACAAAGTGAGGACCCTGACCCCCACCCCCCCAGTCCCTTAGTTAACCTTTCAGAATTCTCAAGTTGATACGGTGTATCAGCCATAACACAAGCAAAGATGATGCCAGAGAAAACTGCAGGCTAATATCCATATAGATATAGACACAAAAGTTTTCAACAAAATGCTAGTAAACTGAATCTAACTAAATATAAAAAGGATTACATACCATAGTCAATTGGAATTTCTTCTAGGGATGTAAGGTTGGTTTAACGTACAAAAATCAGACAAAGTAACATACTATATTAATAGAATAAAAAACCAAAACCATACGATCATATCAAAAGGTGCATAAAAAAGCATTTGACAAAGTCCAATACTTTTTATGATTAAAAACGAGCAACAAAACATTAGGAATAGCTGGGCATGGTGGCACATACCTGTAATTCCATCACGCGGGAGGCTGATGCAGGAGGATCGTTAAAAGTTGCAGACCAGCCTGGGCTACAAAGTGAGCTCAGGGCCAGCCTGAACTGCATAGGGAGACCCTGTCTCAAAAAAAAAAAAAAAAAAAAAAAAAGGAATAGATAGGAACTATTTAAACTTGATAAATGACATCTAGGAAAACTCAGAACTTACAACATAATGGTGAAAAAAATGAATATGTTCCCCTTAAAATCAGGAACAAGATGGGGATGTGTTTTCTCATCCTTTCTGTTTTACCCTATACTATGCTGTATAGTATATACTGTACTAGTAAAATAATACTGAGGCAATCAGAAAAGAAAAAAAGCCTTTGACCTTGGAAAAAAGCAAAATTATCTCTTCACTGATGCCATGAATGTATATGTGTGTGTGTGTGTATGTATGTATATATATATATATATATATATATATATATATATATTCATGGAATCCACACATATAAAAACTATTTGACTAATAAACAATGTTAAACAAGATTGCAAGATACAGATTGGAATGCTGTATCTCATCTGTACTTCTGCACGTTAGCCATGAATGATCTGAAAAATCATTGTAGGAAAAACATTCCATTTACAATAGCTTCAAAAAAATAAAATACTTAGGAATAAATTTAACAAAGGCAGTGCAAGCCTTGTACAATAAAAAGGAAAAAATAGAAATAAACTAAAAAAGCTCTAAATAGATGGAAAGACATCCATGTTCGTGGATTGGAAAGTCTAGTATTATTAAGAAGCCAATACTGTCCAAGTTGATCTGCAGATATTCCATGCATTCCCTATCAAAATCCCAGTTGCCACCCCCCAAGTTAGCAAGTGAATCCTAAAATTCATACAGAAATGCAAGGGACCCAGAATAGGCACACACACAAAAATCTTGAAAGACAGATAAAGTTGGAGGACTTTTGCTCCTCAATTTAA